TCTACTTGTTTTATTTTTCTTTTTACTTTATTTTTTTAAGCTGTCTTTTTTCTTTGTTTTTAAGCTGTTTCTTTTTTTTTTCAATGAATTTTTTTTTGTTTAATTTTTTTATTAATGTTAATTTTTTTATTTAGTTATTAAATTTTCATGATATAGGTTCCGGGTTTGACGCGTTAACTTGAATTTTTTTTGTTTTCTTTTTAATTAATTTTTTTGAGTGCAATCCACAGTGAAATGCTTAACTGTCTTTTTCTTTGTTTTTCTCTTTTGCTTTGTTTTTTAAGCTGTTTTGTTTTTTTTGTTTTTTAATAAATATTTTTTTGTTTAATTTTTTTTTGTTATTGTTAAATTTTTTTCTATTTAGTTATCAACTTTTATTACACGGGTTTTGGGTTTGACAAGTTAACTCAGATTTTTTTTCTAGTTTTTCTTTTTAATTAATTTTTTCATTTAATTTAGTTTGTTAATGTTAATTTTTTTCTATTTAATTATCAAACTTTCATAATACGGATTCTGGATTTGACGGATTAACCCAGCTAATTCTAGGTTAACCTGTAATTTGTTTCTTATTCAGTTATCAAACTTTCATAACACGAATATCAGATTTAACAGGTTAACATGGTTTGAAGGGTTAACCCAATTAATTCAGATTTTTTTCTTTTTCTTTATTAGTTTTTTTCTTCATGTAGGCTTTTCTTTCTTTGTTTGTTTTTTTTAAATTAATATTTTTTTTGTTTAGTAATTTTTTTTGCCTTTTCCTTTTTTTTTCTTTTTTAATTATTTCTTTTGAATTTAGTTTGTTAATATTAAGTTTATTTCTATTTAGTTATCAAACTTTTATGATATAAATCCCAAGTTTGACGGATTAACCTGCTTTGACGAGTTAACCCAGTTAATTCAGATTTTTTTCTTCATTAGTTTTTTTCTTCCTATAGGTTTTTTTCCTTTATTTTTTCTTTTTAATTAATCTTTTTTTTGTTCATTTTAGTTTATTAATTTTAATTTTTTCTATTTAGTTATCACACTCTCATGACACGAATCCAGGTTTGATAGGTTAACCTGATTTGCTGGGCTAACCCAGTTGATTTAGATTTTTTTTCTTTTTCTTTATTATTTTTTTTCTTCCAATTTCATATTTAAAAATTGTAATTAACTATAACTAAAAGAAATCAATCTTTTTTTTTTCAATTTCACGACACGAATCCCAAGTTTTATGGGTTAAATTATTTGATTCATATTTTTTTCTTTCAATTTCATCTTTTAATATGGATTTGATTAAGAATTAAATTTTATGATTTGTTTTGTTTACTGGTCATTAAATTATTGTGATTTCATGAGGGGACCTCCTTGCAAAGCACTATTCATCAAAATAATGTTTTGTTTTATTGTTTTTTCTTTTCATTTAAACTTTTTTTAATTTAATTTTATAATATTATATTTATTTATTTATTTATCACACTTTCATAATAAAACCTTGCAACCAAACTCATATCAAAAACTCCGGGTTTGATTTTATAACCAAACTCACTTGAACTTGAATTATATAAATTTAATATTATTATTAATATTATAAATATAATTTTTGGATTAAGAATAACAAACAAACTAAATGCTCTTAGATAACATTTTATAAAAAAATATAATACTTTTAATTTTTAATATTTTTTATATAAAAAAATTAACAGTCAACGTAGCGCGGGATACATTTCTGGTTCTTACGGAAACTGCTCGCAGGTATTTGTATGAATTTTTATCAACAGCTTTTTCTTTTCTTTAGAGGGAGGTGGGGCTGTCGCATTTGATCGGGCTTTGTGCGCCTTTTTTCAATCTCTGTTCTTAAGAGGATATCAAGGGCAAGAAATCTCGGTTGCTCCGCTGTTATTTTTAATCATATCAACCATTTTAAAGCAATTTTTATAGTTTTTAACCTCTCTGCCCGCTTTCATAAACGAGATAAAATTAAAAGAAACTAGATTTAGTGCAGCTATTTTACTATTGCTCTACACTTATAATGAACGTGGATTGTAACAGTGAAAGGATGTTTTTTTTTCTTGAAAACAGCACACAAATGGTCTTGGCAATGGAGATATAATAGTTTTTTTTTTTTTAAATAGTAAAATGACTAATGTTCCCTTAAATAAAATATTATAAATAAAATATTATTTAGTCTAAAAAATAGAATGCACGTTATTTTTAAGTAGATATATATAGCTACAACATATGAAACATTGTTTAGCGACAACACTTTAGCTTCTACGATGATGTGTTAATCCTCGTAGCATCGCCTTTATTCTTGAACGATGTTTATGGAAAAAATATATAAGATTTTGTATTAGTGATTATTTTTTTTCTTTTTTTTCTCGATTTAAGAATCAACCCATAGTAAAATGACTAATGTTCCCTTAAATATAAAACAATGTGCACTGGCGGGCAGGTTTAATTTTGATTTTTTAATTTTATTTACACAGTAAAATTATTATAAAGTTATTGGATGAGAATTATATTTGCCTTTAGGTTAAAAGGGTTTTTTTTTTATTCTTTTCATTTTTTTTTTGTTATTATAGAGCTTAATCATGGGCATTTTAGAATTTTATTATAAATAAAATATTATTTAGTCTAAAAAAATAGAATGCACGTTATTTTTAAGTAGATATATATAGGTTCGCTCTCAAACAACATATGAAACATTGTTTAGCGACAACACTTTAGCTTCTACGATAATGTGTTAATCCTCGTAGCATCGCCTTCATTCCTGAACGGTGTTTATGGAAAAAATATATAAGATTTTGCATTAGTGATTATTTTTTTTTCTCGATTTAAGAATCAACCCCTCCATATTTTAAAAACAGTGCTTTGCTTTTTTTTTTTTTTAAATTTAGTCATAGCTATTTTTATTTCTATTTTTCAAAACAGTACTTTGGATTGCAGGGCAAAAAAATTAATAATTAGGTCAATTACATAGCCCATAACACTAGGAATTGAAAATAAAAATAGTCAATGAAAAAAAGGCTTAAACAAATACAGGAGTGAAACTTGGGTCCAAAAAGGTCATGCTGTTAACTAAATTTAATAATATTTCATTTATGAAGTTATTTTTTATTTAGTTACACAAAAATCAAGGATCCGGGACAAAAATGATTGTTTTTTTAAGTTAAATAAAAAAATTGATTTTTTAAACCAAATAAAAAAAGTTACACATATTATTATCTGAACAATGATCCATAAAACAAATAAAAAAATATATTATAAATAAACATAATTTAAGGAATTCATTTACTTTAATTTATTTTTGGAAAAAACTAAAATTTAAAAATATTGACAAAAGATAGATAATCAAGTTAATCAAGGTAATTTTTAAAATCAATGAAAAATCATAAGAACTTCAAGTAAAAATATAATAAATGTCAATTTCTAATTTAATTAAATGTTAAAAAATAAAATAAAAAAAATAAAAGCTTTAAAAAATAAATAAATCTAAATAAATCTTCTAAATCTAGGTCAATCTTTTAAATTCATAACCTGTTAAATTTTAAAATGAAACTCAATTAAGAAACCTAATCCAATATTAAATGATAAAATAAAAAACATCAATTTAAAAAATTTGTTAAAGTAAAAATATAGCAATAAAAAAATGAAGGATGATGAAATCATAAAAAAATAATTTAAAAATGATCTTAAATAAAATAAATAACAATCAAAATAATGGAGATAAAATATGATAGATTACAAAAATTAAAAAATAATGAAATTAAAAACAAATTTTAATTCTATAAAATAATTCAAACTAAAAAAATCAATTAAAATAATAGGAACTAAGTAAAAAAATAATTTGAAGAATTACTATGAAATTTTAGAAAACTAGTATGGAAATTGAAAAGAAGAGAGAACAAAAAATAAAAATAAAAACTCAACATATGTAAAATTTAAAAAAATTACATCACACATGTCGTTTAGGGATATAATACTCGCTATTCATATTGAATTGAAAAACACCAAAAAAGTTATTTTTTATTATTATTGTAAGTTATTGCAGATGCCATATAAACATGATAGAGTAACTTATTTACTAACACCTTCAACAAATATATCAATTTTTTTTTTTGCATTAATTAAAAGATTAAAATTGCCCTTAAAACTACACGATAATAACTAAAAAAAAAATCCCCAAGGAAAGTATAAGTTAGAAAAATCTTGATTCTCAAAGTAGTTGATTTATTCTATCATGTTATAAAATGTAAAATGTCAAAAACATCCCTATAATCAAGTATATAATTTTTTTTTTTTTACTTTTGGAAGCATTTAATTAATTATACAACATAAAAAATTTGAAAAGATCAATATACCCTCCATTAATTTAATTAAAATAAATGAACCCTATAAAAAAATTGTATTACTATCTACAAACAGGATAAGAGGGGCAAAATAGCAAAATCTACTATTACAATTTATATAATTTATTAACCAAATCAAATTAAAGGTTGGCTCACTTTATTTAAAGACTTGATTAGTCTATTATTAACCAACTCCTAGGTAATATTTGTAAGCAGTATTTGAGAATATGGTTAAATTTATATATTTTTTTAAATTTTAAATTTTGTTTTTATTTAAAATTAATTTTGTAATATTTTTTTGATTGTTTGATATACTAATATCAAAAATAATTTTTTTAAATAAAAATATTATTTTAATATATTTTAAAATAAAAAAAAT